ATGTAAATCATAAAAACGTTCTCTATGCATTACATGTGATTAACTTTAATTTGTTCACCCGGTCTGACGCTGACTCATCCTGGTGATGTATTTCCTACTTGAAGTTTCGTATGTGGACTTCAGCCTTGTATGTGGGCATTATCAAATATATGTGTGCGGACATCTTTATAACTCAAAACTGTTAAAATTTGAAAAAAATAACAAGGCGTAGTGCTATAAGCATTGTTTGTGGACATCTTTATGTATAGAATATATGTGTGTGGACATCTTTATGACTCAAAACTGTTGAAATTTGAAAAAAAATTTACTTTCATTTGTACGTAAAGAGTGGATTTATATCTAACCACCTAAAATACCACGACATACACAAGTTTCATTCAATCCGTCTTGCAACCTTAACAATATAATTTACAGAACTTCAAAAAAAGTCTGATCAATAGGAAAAAAGTAAAAACGGAATATCATGTAAATTTTTTAAAATCCAATCTAGTTGGGAACGTAGTACTATTAAGTTGCATCTTGGTTTTTTAGCTGTAGGCAGTGTGCCAACTTCCTGAAGCTACATTAATAGTCTTATAAATACAAGTAGTAAGGAAAACCTTTCTGAATGTTTCATTAGACTACAACAGTTATTTATTTTTCATAAGTTTACGTAATATTTTTTTGTAGCACATTAATGGTATAAACACGTAACATGACATTATTTACAAGCTATATGGATCTTTTTTCGGGCCTTCAAAAAATTCTTCATCATTCTTACTATCTCGTTTTGACATTCTTTTGACATCATCGCCATCCGTAAAATATCTTCATTAACTTAATTATCTCTCTGTGGCATCCTCTCCAGTTCGAACAAAGCCGATAATCTGGTGGGTTAAGGGATTGTTATTCTGACATGTAAAGAAGAATAAAATCAGAACTTTCAGAGTCCCGATCCGAGGCTGTGATGAACTATGGATTGTTCTTTTGCAGCCACTGCTGTGTTGGCCTGGCCTTGTGAGCTGGAGCGGAATTCTGCTGGAAAACCCAATGACTTCCAGCAAACAGAGTAGCATTCAGAGGATTGACAACAGGTTCAAAAATGTGGTTCTGATAGATTTTAGCTGCTGTTTAACTCCTTTTTCACAAAAATGGAGCTTTATGGTGCCATCAAAGCAAACTCCCCACAAAACCATCACTGAGGAAGGGTAATGACATCTTTCCAATCTTCCAATGACTTCCCGGGCTTCTTTAGAGCTGTGTGCCAACACACGATCATTTTGGCGATTAAATTTGTCTTCAATTGCAAAAATTGTCTCATCGTTAAACAAAATCTTTCAATGAAGACCATTGGTTTAACGGCGAAGGAGCACTTTGCATTTATCCACTCTAATTTTTTTAGGGAAGTGGTTAGCGTTTGTCCTGTCATTCTTCGAAATGCACCCATCCTAAGGTCACTTTTTATCAAACGAGACATGGATCTGACAGTGGATTTCCATTTCCCGAGACATGATTTGTTATTTTCGAATGGAATTTCTTCTGATTCGAGCAGCCACTGCATTTGTTGTTCTCACAGTGCGGAGGCGACCCGGTCGAGGTCTGTCACATACAGATAGGGTCTCATCATATCTATTTATTGTGTGGTACACGAACATACGCCTGATACCCAAAGGTTCCTATGTGTTGAAAACCTCTGACCTACCTCCGACTTTGTGTAAGACGATCACAGCTATTTGGTTTTCTTTATCACCCCATTCCATGTTAACTGAGCGAAAAAATTACAATCTAATTGGGATTATTATTCTGGCATGTAAAGAAAATTCAACTTTTGTAACATTAGTTATGGCAGAACTAGGTAATGAAGTCCTGGCAATATCCAGATTCTTCTCTCAAGCAACCAATTACATTTGGGATTAAATGGATTGGTGACAATCACCAGTGAAGTGACATAGATATAAGCGCTGGGATCTTCTAGAGTTCTGCTTTTTTCTTCATAAATGGAGGAAAAGGCTTCGCAGAGAGTTCCACTGACCATTGGTAAATAGTGTGTAAGAATACCTCTATTTAAGTTGTTTTGATTAGTTTAACTATAATTTTATTCTATTTATATAGTTATTAATTTTTATTGTTATTATTTAGCTGTTATTCCATTTAATTTATGTATTTTTATTATTTTTTTTGTTTGTTATAAATATGGTGTTATTTTATCGGTGCTACTGAATGTATTCTTATTTGTGACGGAATGTAACATAGCTCAATGAAGAAAACCAAAATTGGTGAACTAGTGGACAACGCATGATTGGAAACTGGACTTGATTAGGTAGTTAAAAAATTCTGATTATGTATCTTTTATAAATGGAATTAGTCGGTAATGTTTAGCTCAACCTCCTCAATTCCAATTAAAGATGCCCACTTTGTAGTTGGTTTTTATATGTCAAAAGTAGCGGGATGGTTAGAGGGTATCTCACTGCGATATCATAAAATAAATAAATTTCTGTCACAACAGGACTCGAATCCAAACCCGACACTATATATAATTTTCTATTAACCTAAATATTGAAGTTGTTTATTAATGGTTAAACTGAGGAGTTTTAGCTAAATTTACCGCTTTAACTTTCAATAAGAATTGAACTTTTGCTGAGAGGACGATTAGGTCGTTTTTAGTTATGAACTAAAACAGTTATGAACCTTGGGGACCTACTCGCTATATACCTGTCAAGCTTTAATGCTACATTTAATCATCGCGACTAAATGTTATGACATTGTTGATAGGTCGGAGCTGCATGAGTTTGGATTTGTAAAGTTTCCGCCCAACTTCTCCCTCAACTCCCCTCCCCCTCAGATAATCCGTTTTCCTGTCCTCCCCTTTTCCGCCATTCACTTTATAACAAGCTATTATGATGTTATGCTTCCATAATTGTTATAAGTGGATACATAGTTCGTATCAAGGCTCTATTTATTTATGTATAAAATGAGCTTTTATTTAAGAAATATTTCGATACACAAACCATTACTTTTGAATTGTTTTATTAATTTATTGAAAATTGCGACGGTATGAATAAAAATAATAACTAAACCTGCTTTAAAAATGATACTAACTTGTAAAAAAACTTATCCTTTGGATGCATTTTAATGACTGTTTTAATTTACGAGAGACATGTTTTTTCTCGGACGCCTCGGACATTTATTAGAAATAGTTTTGGATGACGCTTGGGAACTAGTGGGTTTGGGTGACGAAGGAGTTTGGTATTAAAATAGAAATATCTGTAGCCCAAATCTCGAAACACTCCATATTTCAAGAATATATGGTTACACAATAGTTCTTTGTGATAAATTTATTTTTAACATAATAAAGGCGTTTGTGAAGTAAGTGTTGTAGTCATCTGAATATACGTGTTGCTTCTTGTCCTTTTATTGTTGTATGAGGATTGTAGGTAAGACGCTATGTCATGATGCTGTTCGAGTTATTGAATCTGTGGAATGTTGTTAAAGAATATTTTTGGATAGCATGTAGTAGGTTTACGAATGAAGTTACTTTTGGGCTTACATATCTAACTGGTTTACTGTCCTCATGTAAAAGCATCTTCAATTTTTTTTCTAGTTTTACGAATCAGTCTTAAAAATACACCTTTTCTTGATATTAGAAGTACAATATAATAATGAATTATATTGACATTTGTATTGATCTTGACTCCACTCTTATATCCGTCTGTGATTTAAATAAAAGGACATTACCTCTGGCTATATTCCTAGTTCCGCTATAATCGTGGGCATATTGGTCCATTGTCTGTAGTTAGGAGACCTCTTTGTTATCTATTCGTTCTTAACAAGATAAAAGGGCATCTATCGTTCATTTATGTCCTTAAATTTACTGTTTTGAACTCTAAGAATAATGGCAAGTATGTACGATGGTATCTTGTTCTAAGTTGATTCGGTAGATTTGTTTTAGTCTGCCTTAGTTGCTGTCGAAGCACTACTCGAACACTTATTTATAATTTAGTCTATACATACTTCGTATTTGTTTTGCCAATATGATTCTTGAAATCCTATTAAATGTAATTACACGAACAATAATACTTTTAGAGTTTTTTTTTTTTTTTATAAGACATGATATATTTTGCATTTTGGGGAGAGCTTCAGCCCAAAAGCCCCACTTCCCCGTAGATCCGCTCGTGGACGTGACTTGATTTAGGTTTTCTTTTTTTTTCTGTCCTGCGTAGTGTTATCCAAAATCGGTCTTGGTTTTGCACTTTGCAAGACCAAGACCAACACCACTTATCTGTTGCAAGACCAAGACCAAGACTGGTACAAAAGCCGATTTTTTGTATAAAAATTGAAGCATAATAGTTATTAATACTTGATCATTTTAGTTACTATATGTAAAGAATTGGCGTAACCAGTATACTTTTGCATTCAACTCTTCTCATTTTTCATCCAGACTTAGTTAGGTTTCTAAAATCTAAAAAAATACAGCAATATCTCTCTAGTAATAAGCTAATAGACTACTCCAAGACTGTTACGAGAGTCTTGCGCAAGACCAAGACTGAGTTTGCAAGACCAAGACTCGGTCTCGCATTTGGGCAACACTATTTCTGCGAAACATATACTGGTTAATTCTTTTTTTCCTGGCTGTTTGGTTGGATTTTTTCAATAATAACATAACAATAATAAAGATACATTTTTTTTCTAATTAACATAAAATCATGAAACTTTTTTTTTCACTATTACTTATTTACTGGGATTATAACATATGTTTTGAGTTACAACAATCTATGTAATCTATGAAAATAAAAAATAAAAATTATTAAAATATCTATTATGCTTTTTTATAACAAAATTATAAAGGAAACACATTTCACATAATTGAGTCAATAATACCACTTACATCTTATAAATAAACATTAACACTTGACTCAACGACGGCTGCCGATAGTTATATAATTAAATAATTCAACCACGGCAGCCCCTGATCGTTCCAGTTTTAACAAGATGACTGTATTTATTATCTTCAAATTAAATTATTATTCTATTGGAAGGTCAAGGCTGCGGAGGAGGGATTCGAGTGGGAGTGGGGAGATGTGGAGGGGATGATGGTATATAAAAGGGAGTGGGGGGATCGTGGGCGGACACTCCAGCCAGGGACTTCGCTTGAGAAGGAAGTGTTCTGTAAAGCTCTGTCCGTTTCTCTGCTTCTCCACAGGGAATGGTATCAAAGATGTAAGGATCTCTGTCTGGATGTTTTTCATGTGCCCATGTAAATTAGATCGAAGCTTTTGATGTTTCTATGCATCCTTCCACCTCCTACTCCTTTAAATCAACATATTTTTTTACTTTTTATTTTTTGTACTTGGACTTCAACTCAACTATCTTTATATTACTTATACTAACATATACTAAGAATGTATGATGAAGTATTGAATCAGAGGATTTCATGATTATTTTATTGCAATTTATTTGTTCACTTCTCTTTCCTTTGCTCTCCTTTTTTTTTTTTTTTTTTTTTTTTCATTTAAGTTTAATAATATTTATTTAATAATTATTTTATTATTTATTTACTCGTTTATAATATTCGATTTCGCTCTATATTTTATTATTCTAAAGAAATTTTTTTTATTTATTTGATTTATTGTGATACTGAAAGTTATAAATTTTGTATAAAATATTTATATATATATATAAACAATATATATATGTGTACTATTTTCGTATTTCTTGAAACGAATCTTGTCCACTTTAACTAATTTTAATCAATTCCATTCATTTTATCCTGCATGAAATATATGTTATATGTCATATTTATTGGTTTTATGCAAAATTTGTATCAAGCAACAGTACTGAATCTTCAAGAATATTTTTTGAAATAAATTCAATGAATTTTTGTTTTAATTTTTATCAAAGATGGGCTAAGTGAAGATTTATTTAATTCACAGATATTAAGAAAAAAATATAATATATTAAAAAATAATCATTGTTTTGGTACTTCATACTGGAGTTGTTGCTTACAAGTTTATACACCCCTTTCTTTACAGTTGAAGAGCACAAATAAATAATAATAATTTTATATTTGTTATTATTTGATTTTTTCTATTCGCACATAAACTTCAATTTAGTATATCAATTGATTTAAAAAGCTTCTATTTTGTTGCTTGAGGTAGGTTCTGCGGTGGCCCTTGGCGTGACCTACCGCAAACTGAAACTAACTGAGCGTTCTTCTACGTCTTTAGTGGTTTAGGCCCACTGTCGTATTCTTATCAATTCATATATGTATAGTTTATTACTAAAATAAATGTCACTCAACGATAAAAAAAATATATAAGAACTAACTAAATATTTAAAAAAAAATAAGTTTTATAATATATTTATTTTGCATTAATTAATTAAATAATTTGTACAATTATTTGTATTATAAAAAAAACAGAACAATGTTCACAAGTATGGAATATGTGAAATGAGCACATAAAATGAGCACAGATGAAGAAAGCTCGAAAAAGGAAATATATATTTCAAACAATTTATAAATGTTTTACCTGTTATTACCTAAGTTTATCCATATTGATCTAGTTTGTTTTCGCGCATGTGCAAATGTATCACCTTCGAAAATCAATAAACTCTGGGGCAATTTATTACCTGACAGTATTTAAAAAAATATAATCTATCGGTTGTTAATTAGCTCAAAAAATGTACTTACCCTCCCATTTTATTTAACATTTGGAACTTAAACATTGTTTCCGAGGGATTTTACAAAAACTTCATGTTTTTGCCGTAAATTAATGTTATGCTGCGCTATGGTCTGTTGTTCCGCCATCTCATGCATCCATTGATTCTTGCTTCTTTTTGTTTCATTAACTCAACTCTTTTGACTATTAAAAATCTTTCGGTTTATTAAAAATACTTATTATATTCGGTTTGAATAACGTAAAGTTACATTATTTAATATAAATTATGACATATGTAATAAATATGTTTTATTAGCTAATTACTGATGTGAATGTTGTATATACAAACATTATACCATTATATAAAATCAATGATATTCTAAGCAGTAAATCATTAATATTGAAATATAGTAATATTTTGTCTTTTTTTTTTTTTAAACATATATATATTTTGTTACTTAGCCATTGCTTATTTCACTAATGACAGTTATCGTACCTATGATACTTTTTTTAGTCTGGGAATGATAACGATTTTCAGCATTGCCTTGGAATAAGAAATGCATATAATTTTATAATAGCAGTGAAAACATACTTGTTTTTTTCATATGCTATTCACTAGTAAATTTAAATTTGACAATATATTTTAATTGAAAAATCGTTGGTGATTGAAAATGTATATAGGTGTACTTGTTCTGAAGCAAATTTTAATAAAATTTTATTTGAATTTAATATCATGAAATAAGTAATTTTGACTTTATCATACTGCAAATAGAGTGTGAGTATGCTCTCTTAACACTATTATAAATGTCCTTAATTGTGACAGAATGTCATATTTCTGAATAAATAAATTTATTTATTATCATACTGCATGATAATGATGTTTGCATGTATTAGTAATGAATGTTGTTATGCTATTCATGTCTTGATTGAATGTTAATAAAATTAAGATTCTGATTTGCTCTTTCTTCAATTACTTTTATTCATTAAATAAAACAACATCGAAGATTTTTTTCTTTAATTCGAATTAATACTGAGATAACTTTTTTCACCATTCGATGAACATGATTTCGAATATGTAAAAAATATACAGAAAACTTAAATAAGGTATAAGATATTTTGAGTTCATTCCATTGCAGATAAAGATAAATTTGAAGTATTTCACAACTTTTGAAGACAGTTGATTTATTTGAACAGATTGTGTTGGTATAGACTGTAGCGCCTAAACGAATGTACCGATTTCAACGAAACTTGCCTCAAGTCTTCTTCTCGATCTCTTTTAAATATATGTATGCAACATACTTCACCGAAAAGAAGCTGCAAAAAAAATTTCGAGGGGTGATAAAATTAGATTTTCGAATAATTCAAGACTTACATCCTTTTTTGTTGGTGGTTATTTAAAATTTTACGCTTTGTTTTATTTTTTTTTATTTTTTAAAGTATTACATCAACTGTTGCAATGTTTTTTGTTTTCATTAGCCAATTACTAATCATGAAAATTTTGGTGTTTTTCATAGCCTAAGCCAATTATTTGTTAATATTTCTTTATGTTTTATTATTCTATGACTATTCAGCTTTAATAAAAGACCAACTATGAGGAAATTAAGCCAAATACTGATTCCCAGTGACCAAAAAACTAACTAAAGTCAAAGTCGTCAATCCGCCATCTTTGGACGCCATTTTGGGGCAGTGCGTTCACTTTTTTTTGTGGGAACATTGGCTTTTTTTTAATAAATAGTTACAAGGAACCCAACGATATGCAATTTATAGGGATGTGGCATTATTTATGCCACCAGTATTAGGAATCTTCTTTTGTGTATTTTTCATTATTTCACAAGAAAAGTAATGTTACTTTTGATGTATATTTTTTTTGGTAATAATAAACAATTTTTTAATAAATTGCAGCGTTTTTCTGCTTATTTTTTATGATTGGAATTTGGATCGTTCTTTGAGTTATTAAAATTATATTTTGTTTATTTTGACTTGACTCGATTGCCCAGTGAAGCACAAGCACGGACACGCTTGATGCGCTCCGTTGCCAACGAAGTATTGCCGGTATCCCAGTAATGGTGCCTCGAAGGAATGGAAGTGCTATTAAACTATCAGCAAACACCTGGAACAGATTAACTCCCGAGGCCTACACCGCATGCCACAACGAGCGCGACTATTACTGCAAAGTCAGTATTCCTGGAGTCATTGTCATTAATGGTAGTTCATACTGCGTAGGTGCTCTATTAGACACTATTGATATACAGTTGTAATTTGTCTATATTTTCGGATTATTATTACTTTCAATTTAAAATATTTTTTACACACACACACACACATATATATATATATATATATATATATATATATAAGAGACTTTTGGTGATGCCTCTATTAACAAATTCTTTTTAATTTCCAACCAGAAAAATAAGTCTCCATGTAATAAAATATTAGAAAAATTTAAGAAACGATTACATAGCTAATAAATTCAAAACAAGTATTAAAATTATTTAAGATTTTTGTCGTTTAACTCACTTTTTTCAAAGCTCGTTGACATAACTGTACCAGAGAATTACACTAGCTCAATATGATCTATCAAAATGAACTTGTCCTCAAAATGATTTACTTTTTCTTAATTTATTTATTTTTCTTGAATATATTTTTGGAAACTTTCTTCTTTCTGAAAAGTTTAGGTTCTTTTGATAACTTTACTGAAGCAAGTAATTCAAACATAAATGAAGTGTTCAGAGATCTACCTCTGAAACACAAAAATTAACAATTCAGAATTTCACCACCATTTTATGGCCACCATTTTGCTGCAAACCATTCCTGCAGAGAAAATCTGTTCATATGGTGAAGTGTGCACAGAGTAAGTTACTCTCTTAAGAAATGACAATTAAAGAAAATATGAGTTGCTAAACTTTAAGAGAACAGCCTGGTGGAGGAAGAAGAGGTGGCCAAAACCATGAAGCTCAATTTCAGACAGCAAGTGAGTCCAAATTGACAATTAAGCAATAATCACTTCTAACATGACAATCTCAAACTAAAAATTGTAATATCACAATCAGCATTATGTAATTAATCTGTAGAGATCAACAAAATTGTACAAAGGCACAAATTTCATTTTTTTTATTCAATTATATGCAATATAATCATATTCTCAATATTTTGTTTAATTTAATCAATCATAAAATTTCACTGATCCAACCTCATATAGTCCACACCAATTTTCACAATCACCAATGCAATACAATTCAATTACAGATCAATGGGTAATTTTTGGCTCACACCAAATTACCGTGATCGAACATGGAGTTTAAATTGAAAAACCCATAGTAAAAAATATTAATATTAAAAAATTGAGTTACTAAGAAACAAATTTTAATATTTGTATTTGCTCCCTTGAACAAATACAAATATTGGCATGGTATTCTTTACCTTCGGGGCATAGAATTTGTTAATATGAATTAATATTAATGATTTTGATATTTGGTCCAATTTTCAGATTAATGGAAATGGCATTTAGCTTGCCGATAAATTGTATAAATCAATTGATTTTGTGTAATATTCCAGAATTAGGAAGTCCATTCTTCAATTGATCTTAG